GAGATGGGCATGGTCAAAGGGGACTCTATGGTTTCTGGTTTATTAAACTTGGTCCAAAATTGTGCCATTCATTCAGACAGTGACATATTGGAATACGTCAGGAGCTGGGGTTAGGAACTGAAATTTGAATCTGAAGCTCTGCATTGGAGGCATCTTTGAAATTGAAATTATAGATGGTGCCTGTGCAGCAGGACCTAGACTCAGGGGAGAGGTCTGGGCAGGAGGTATAACATGCAAGTTATTGGCATATAGATGGCAACTGATGTGTTAATATATGGGAAACAACAAATGAAAATTTATACTTTTGAGATTTTATTGAAAACACATTGGTCATAAATGGAAGTTTTGAGAATGGGCTAAAGTGGAAATAGGGTTGTGACTTTTGGTTGTTTCTCTTCTTCTTGGTAAAGGAATGAGCATACTTGGATGATTCTGGATCCTTGCCATTGTTCTGGCCTGTCTGTAACATGATTTTAAACCACAGACTACAATAAAAACAAAGAATCACAGGCTTAGTACCTTTGAAAACAATTATTATACATCCTTCTAATACTTTTGGGGGGAGTTAAATGTATGAGATTATTTAAAAATACGTGGTTTGTTTTTAGCTTTATAGCATATTTAAAGAAATAAACCACACAGAGTGTTCAGGTATTTGTATTCATATGCTGCACTTTACAGCAAATTGGATATAGGAAAGGCGTAGGGGCCTGAGAGGTTTTGATCTTAGGCATGAAAAACAATGAATTTGTGATTTAACTGGGACAGTGAAGGGTGAAATTAAATAGATTAAGGAGGTCCATTTCAAGGTACAGGCTTCATCCACTAACCTGTCTTTCCCATGGCAGACAGATTATCTGTAGACCATAGAGAACAGGATCCCAGCCTACCAAATTGCTTTCTAGTCTTCACTTTGATCTCCATTTGAACATTTTGCATGCGTAATACATCCCTGGCTATTCCATACAAAATTACAGTCTTTCCAAGACAATTCTGAGTATACTCGTTCTCATTAAAATATTTCTGTGCATTTCAAAACTAATTAATTATACTTTCATGTATGTATCATTCCCAAACAAACACTTTGGCTGTTGTGAACAGTGTTAATAATAGATTATTTTTGTCTCTTACTAACCTCTCTTCATTAGTACTGTGAGTTTAAAATATAAATAAATAAATTATTTTTTACTTGATCTCAAAGAAATAAAGCATCTGTTGTATGTGAAGATAATTTATTTTGGGGAATTGGAATCTGCCAGAAGAACAAAGCCTAGTGGACATCATATAAAGGGGCCTGACTTGGAGAAGATGTAGTGATGTAGTGGAGCCTCTATTCCTGGGCTATTTCTTCCCATTGAGGGGGTAGTAAGGTCAGAGACTTCTGAGCAGCTCTCATGGAGGGATGTCCAATGGGAGATCATAGTTGAGTAGACTGTATTTCAGGAAAATTCAACAAACATTCATTCAGGGCTAACTCTTGCCAGGCACCATGCCAGGTACTGAGGTTACCAAAATGAATACGGCACAGGCTTTTTCTCCAGAAGCACTATTATTTTTCCAACAGTGTAATTAGTATAAGGAATGCAATGTGTACCACAGAAATTCAGAAAAGAGACATTTATTCTAGACTGGCAAAAGGGAAGATTTTCCAGTAGAGGGAATAATTTGGCAGACTGTTTTATTCTTCTTGAATTTTATTGTGATAAAATTTATATAACAAAACATTTGCCATTTTAACCATTTTCAAGTATACAATTCAGTAATATTAATTACATTCACCATGTAAATTCCAAATGATTGTCATATCCTTAAACGGAACCTCAGTACCCCTTAAGTAATAACCCTTTATCTCACCCTCCTCCCAGTCCCTGGTAAACGCTAATAAACATTTATCTCTATTAATGTGCCTATTCTGGAAATTTTATTCAAGTGGGATCATACAGTATTTTTCTTTCTATATTTGACTTATTGCACTATGCTTAAAGCATGTTTTCAAGATTCATCTATGTCTTAGCATGTATCAGAAATTTATTTCTCTATATGATTGAATAATATTCCATTGTATGTATATACCACATTTTGTTTATCCAATCATCTGTTGATGGTCACTTGAGTGGTTTCAACCTTTTGACTATTGTGAATAATGCTATCATGAACACTGGTGTACATGTGTTTGAGTCCCTGCTTCCATATCTTTGGGGTATATAGCTAGTAGTAGGGTTGCTGGATCGTATGGTAATTCTATATTTAACTTTTTGAGGAATTTCCAAACTGTTTTCCACAGTGGTTGCACCAATTTACATTCCCACCAGCAATGGATGAGGGTTCCTGTTACTCTATATTCTTGATGACACTTGCTATTTTCCATTTTTCTGATAATAGCCACCCTAATGGGTGTTAGGAGCCCTGGTGGCCCAGTGGTTAAGAGCTTGGCTGCTAACCAAAAGGTCAGAAATTTGAATCCACCAGCCACCTCTTGGAAACCCTATGGGTCAGCTCTACTCTGTCCTATAGTGTGGCTATGAGTTGAAATCGACTCGATGGCAATGGGTTTGTTTTTTTGGTCATGGGTGTTAAGTGGTATCTCAGAGTGGTTATGATTTGCATTTCTCTAGTGACTAGTATCATTGAACATCTTTTCATGTTTTTACTGGCCATTTGTATATGTTCTTTGGAGAAATATCTACTCAAGTCTTTCCTCCTTTTTAAAATTGTGTTGTTTATCTTTTCGTTGTTGAGTTTACAGTTCTTTATGTATTCTAGACATTAAACCCTTCTCAACTATATGATTCCCAAACCATGAAAAGATTTAAAATATTTATGCCCAACTGCCCCGTTTCCTCTTTCTTAATCCCATCTGCCTATAAATTTATTGATTAAACAATTTATTCATCTGCCAACTTTCACATTCAAATACACAACACATTTTGCTTACCTTCCATCATAAAACAGTTACTATATATATAGAGAGAGGAAAGAATGATCTTGAAAAATAATTACTCTCTAAAATACAAATGGAAGAGATGTTTGTAAGAACTGGTCTTATAAGACCTGGCCAGGTTTCCTTTGTTCTCTCCTTCACAGATCACATCTGCTTTCTCATTACCCCATTTCCACTCCCCACATGTATTGTCCTTTTTCTTCTTTTGATCTTTTGTGTTGTTAGCAAGTTTATTAAAGGATTTACTTCACATATGCCACATTCTACTATGCCTGTATGACTGTTTGCATGTCTTTGTCCTGTCTGGTTCCTACCCCTCTGAACTCAAGATTCTCAAAGAAAAGAGTTGTTAATTTTTTTATTCTCATATTTCCTACATTGTAATTAATGTATACATTTGAATGACTGAGTGAATAATGTTTCAATGCATAAGGAAAGGGAAAACTAGGTGAAGAAAATATTATGTGCAGATGAGAATGAAACATAAATTCTTACTGGCAGGTATAGGCAAGATTTCAATAAGCAGGTGAAATATCTAGTTCCAACAAGATAGGCAGAGATTTGCCATGGAAAAGTAGAGGCAGAGACGCATCTAGGTAACAGGACTTCCCCCCAAATACAGAGAATGCTCAGGCAAGAATAAGTTGTCTGATGTAACTGAAGGACAGAGTATTTAATTGTAAGAAAAGGGTCTTGATATCACGATGTGAAAAACTGAAAATGTTGCCCTAAGAAGTTTTGCTTTATTTTGAAGAAAATTTAGAGAGATTTTGTAGAGAGGAGCGCCATTATTTCACCATCATGTATGAAGATAATTCTTGTAGAATGAATGGTGAGTACAGTGTAAGAAAGGCTTCTGGGAGACCAGCGAGGAGACCATTACAAGAGTAGAGATGACAAGTTAGGCCAGAGGGTATAAGAAGGAAAGGAATGTGTGTAATAAATATGAGATACTTTAGACCTTTAAACATTGTGACTTACAACTCAAATATTGACAAGAAAGGAGAGAAAAAAATTGTTTTGTGTCTGAAGTCTCAAGCTTCATATGAGAGAACACGTACCTTAATTATATAACAGTGCTTGCAAAAGGCCTTATTATTCATGCCCATGTTCATAATAAATAGCAGAGTTTAAAAAACAGTCAGAACAAAAAAAATCTTGAAATCATCTTCCAAATAAGACACATATTTGGATGGCTTTAAGCAAAGTTGGTCTACGATGCAATTACAGGAGTGTGTCATGTATATGTAGGAGTCTGGGGGTGCAGTGGTTAAACACTCGGCTGCTAACCGATAGGTTGTCAGTTTGATCCCACCAACTGCTCTGCGAGAGAAAGATGTGGCAGTCTGCTTTTGTAAAGATTTACAGCCTTGGAAACCCTATGGGCAGTTCTACTCTGTCCTTTGGGGTTGCTATGAGTCAGAATTGACAGCAATGGGTTTGGTTTTTTGGTTTTTGGTTGTGTATATGTAACTGCGTAACAAAACCCAGCCAGGTTCACCAAGTGCCTCCCGGGGTAGTGCTTTATGTCTCAGAAGTGTTCTTTTGACTTCTTATAGGCAAAGCCTTCATATTTTATTTATCAATGATATTATAGCTTATGATACTATTTTTATGTCTGTTACCATGTGATATGTGGCATGGTACTAGCAAGGTTTGCAATAATGAACTAATCATCGCTACTGATTGACAGGGACTATTCTTACGCCTTGTTCAACGTAGGGATAATAAACTGTTAATAAGTAATTTGTATTTATCTGTTGATAAACATATAAAGGCACTTCATGTTATTTGCAAGTCTGTTTATAATAACTTTTAAGATGCTAATGACATATATTATCAAGTTAATGTGTTAATATTATATTAGAATTACAAAATCTGATATAAAGATTTTTCTGTATTCCATTTCCACAAATCATTAGGTAATGTATCTGTTATTGTGTAATTCTTTTTATATCTTTAAATCTCTTGCTAAATATATACGTGTATTCTTTCTTCCTTTTCTTTCCTCCATTTGTCTGATCTGCTTCCATTGATGACTCTATACTTTTGACTCCAGACTGGCAATATGAGGGTAAGATGTCAAAAACAAATATCTTAACCAACCTCATGAGCATTGCTTGTCTGTCTTTGTTTTATTCTCTTTAGAACATTATTAAAATTCTATTCAATCACTTTAATTAGACCCTTTATCCCAATTAAAGTCCAATTATGTTTGTTTCTGTTCTGAAGCTTTAATTACAATTTATCCTTGTTAATCATTCCTTTATGTTATTTCTTTGGGTTAAATTACCATTCCATTATCGCTGCCTGAAGGATTTCTGCTCTCCAGTGTTCTCTGCTGGTGTTTTCTTAGTACAATTTGAATAGTTTTGTGATATACAAAGTGATTTGTGCTATGTTGTGGTAAGGAATCTATGTGGTTATTATGAACATTTTAAAAGTAATATATTGTTAAAAGTAACAATGCATATTAATTTGATTGTAAGATTAAAAATTATCGATATGCTCATCTCAATGAATTTGATCATAGAGTGATTGCCCTTGCAATTGTTGATTCATACCTTTGCTTGTTTTTTTCTTGTTTTTTGTTTTTCCTTAAGATTGCAAACTAGCTAGGGGAGGACCACCAGCTACTATAGTTGCTATCGATGAAGAGAGTCGGAATGGTGAGTGAGCTTTGAATTTTTCGAATGACTTATCTAAGAGGGCTTTATTATAATTTCGATGCTTGATATATTATCTGTGGAGGTACTAAATGAGTGGTTTAACTCAAATCCACAATTAGTTTCCCTCTAATTTTTTTCCCTGTATGGGTTTAAGTTACACCTTTCCCTGAAAATTCTTTGCTTGGATTACATTATGAGAAAATCTTGCAAATGAATAGAAATGTTTGGTTTTGAGAGGGAGTCATTTTGATTCAAGGTCAGCCCAATAATGCATTCAGATGCCAGGTTGAAATGTTTTTTTTTCTTTTGGTCAATTAGTAGAGTTGACTATTGTACGTAGAGTCTTCTAACAGAAACACATTGTATTCCTCCAAAAGAAGTGGACCACAAGAAATTGGCTAGAATCAGGTAAGGATTGAAATGCATAGCCTATTAGACATGGAGGTATTGGAATGGATAATGAGAAAACTGAAAATGCTTGGATAAAGAGAGCCCAACAAGTCTAGAGCAGAGGAAGAGTCTAAATTATCACTCAGACTTTCTGCTGTAATTAACAACCAATACCTAATTCATATAAAGTTCTTCTTCAGAAAAATAATTTTTCCTTATTGAAACCAAACGTAGTCATGCAACATTCTCCTAGCCTCTCTAAACATTTATGTATGAATATTAGAAAGTCTCCTCCTCTTTTAGATAGCAGGCAAATGGTTATCTCTGGGGGCTCTGTTTATATTTAAACTGTTCTAAGTGTGTGAATGTGTTCTGTGGCTCATTTTGTCTCCTACTTCTGTGATGGACCTTCCACTGGGTTTGTTTGATTTGTACTTATTTTTCATTCTACACATCATTAAAAAAAAAAGGAGAATTATGTCAAATGGTTTATTAGAGAATGACATTCTTTTCTAATGTAGGTATTTCATGTATTATGAAAACTTTTATAAAATATGCACTATCTGCATTGGTTCACTTCATCATGGATTTACTCTGCTGCATTAGAGTCATTCATTTAACACTTTTGAGGAATTGGCACGATCTTTTTCTTTCTTTCTTGCATATCCTTTCAGCCAAAAATGTCTGCAGTGTCGCTGGCCTCTGTTTAAACAAATTTGTCTCCACTAAATTTTCACAACATTAAAAAGCCACAGAAATTTCAGTATTTTTGTTATTTTTTTAAAAAGTCAGTCTCTATTCATCATAAAAGTGTATGATTAATGAGAAGTGTGATGCACTTAAATACACTGGAAATAAGTCCTAAAAATGTCTATAGAAAAAACTAAAAACACCAGTCAAAATGCTATACCAGAAAAAGTTCTGTCTAATGTGTAGAGTAGGTTAACTTAGAGTTAACCTTTATTCTCTGAAGAAATCCGTATTTTTCATAAGTTTTACAATGAAAACTGTTTACCTTTCTAATAAAAAATAAACAGACATGATAGAAGTTCAATCAGTATATTATGTTCTTATTATTTGCCAACCCCCTTGAGCATATAAACTGAGATGAAATAACACATTTATTTTCACTAAATAATTTCAATTTAACGTGATTTTGTTCAGAGCCTCTTTTCCCAACCAGGTAATTACGGCCACAATAAAAATGATATTTTATACCCCTTTGTGCTGATTAGATCCCACTTTTCAAAGGAGCTCAGGCCCTCTACGAAGATGTTGCCTGAGCAGTGCTGTGCAGTGACGTGCGGTGAAAGGTCAATATTTGTGTTTTAGAGGAATGTGACATTCTATAGTGCAGTAATGTTGTGCTCTTTACTTGGCATATTTTGTAGAAACTGACAGGTATTCAAAATGCTGCCAAAGTTATTTGAGTGTCATCACCAGGAGTATAAATACAAACCTACAGACAGAATGTTTTGCGTTTTCCTTTTACATTAAATATCTGAAAATATGGTGATCAAATGAAACTCTGACAGATATTATAATGTCGTGTGTAATCATCCTTGTCTTAAAAGTCTGAGTGAATCAATCCATAAAAATGTTTTTCATGTTTTTCTTAATCAGCCAGGAACTTTCCAACACAACAGTTACTTCTAGCCTTGAGTTTAAACTCTCTTAATTTCTCACTTCCTAAATTGTTTAATTGGTAGTATAATGTGTATTTTATAATAAGCACTCATTTTTAAAGATGTTGGGGTTCCTTAAAAGAAAGGCATAGCCAATCCATTATCAAGTCAAATAAGTATGTTTGTTATGAGTCGGTTTGCCTTTGGCTCACTTTGTTGGTCTCTACTGCTAAGCAATATTACAAAAGATATCTCTCACTAAGGCATAGTTTCCAAAAAGCAGCTCAGTTTTTTGAAATATATATTTAATTTTCTTATGTAAGACACTGAGCTACCTTTGTATACTATGCATGTTTGTCACATGAATGTGTATCTTTCTTAATTTTTATACCTGGTGGGATGGCAGTATTTTCTTTCTTTGTATATGTATGATAAGTACATTTGTACATGTGCATTTGCACCTTAGTGTATATATCTATATACATATAGATATAGATATATACACACATACATGTACAAATATATGTGTATATATAAAATGTATAAAAACAAACAAACCCATTGCCGTCGAATCGATTCTGACTCATAGCAACTCCATAGGACAGAGTAGAACTGCCCCGTAAGATTTCCAAGGAGTCCCTGGTGGACTCGAACTGCTGACCTTTTGGTTAGCATCCGTAGCTCTTAACCACTGCGCCATCAGGGTTTCCATAAAATGTATATGTATACACACACATACATATATATATGTATAAACATATTAAAAAGGTAACAGGCAGAGAACCATAAGCCTTGAGCCCTGTTAGATTCTTCCCCACCCTTGCATTTATCCTCACCAGCACACTTACAACAGATTCATAACATCACTCTAGTCTGAACCAGGAGTACATTTTCCTTACAATCGCCAGAAAACCAAGCTGTAAGGAGACAAAGTGGATACATAAATAGTAATGATGCTTCTTGACAACACCAGAAAGCTCAGAGCCAGTGTGTAGTGTGTGTTAAGTGTGTTATTACACACACAATAATGGGGAGAGCTACATACAGAGAAACAGAACATGTTACCTATGCTTAATAAAATGAGAATGTCTAAAAAAAAAAAGTCTTTCTGGAAATATGTTTTCTAGTTTCTTTGGGCTGAGTGGTTCATGGCATTGAGCCTTACTGGAAAGAGAAAGTCCAGGGGCAGTTACAGTGGTCTTGTTTAAAGGCCTGCCTCTGAGTGCCAGCCAAGTAAGAGTCCCTGGCTTCTTTACAGCAACTATGTAATGACATTCAAAAAGGCTTCCGAATCACTGGTTCAGACTAATTTTCAGACCTTCCTCCAGAGCCACCAGAGAGAAAAAACCTTCTCCTGGAGCTGGCACCCTGAATTCTGACATCTAGCCTCCTTAACAGTGAGAAAATGAATTTCTGTTTGTTAAAGCCATCCACTTGTGGTATTTCTGTGATAGCAGCAGTAGATAACTGAGACGGTGGTCTTCTGGCAAAATTGGTTGTGGATGTTGCATAGCAGCAAAATAGTAATTACTCATTTCTTTTTACTCCATAGTTTACTTTTCCCAGGCATCATCAAGTCGTTCTGAGTCATTTCCAGTGAAAAGTGTATGCACTGATGAAGAATTAGAGTTTTCCCACAAATTATGAAGGAGTTAAATGAAACTAAAATGCATTTGTCAGTAGTGAACCTAAGCCAATGTAAAAAGCAAGGATGTCAAATTCCTCACGTATTTTAATTCTCTTAGTATTGTGACTATAAGACAACTGTTGTTACAATAGAGAACAGTTTGGCTCTGTTCATTACTGGTGAAGCTACATCTGTAATGATGCATTCTGCTTCTTTTCATTTCTGCCAAAGAATCATTTTCTAAAAGGTCAGCAGCTGTAAACCTTCTGAATATATAACTGTGAAGTAATAAGTAAATAGAAAGGTTTCTATTTCCATTAGGAAAATAGGTTGTTACTCATCTCCTCAAGTTATCTAGATTTTATTGATATTGAATCATATATTCTCTATTCATTTACAATTTTCCTTTTCTCATTTGTTGACTAAATAGCACCCAGCATGTAATGGCATTGCTGGAGTGAATGGAATGGCATGAAGGCAAGGGACAAGAGAAGTATACAATGCAGACAGAAGTGGAAAAGACCAGCAGGATAGGGCAGTTTGTACAAGGGAAAACAACTCTATAAAACTTGTTGTGGTTAGTTGATGTCGAGTCTATTCTGACTCACAGGGAGCCCATGAGTAACAAGAGTAGAACTGTGCTCCATAGGATTTTCAAGGCTGTGACCTTTTGGAAGCAGATTTCCAGGCCTGTCTTCCAAGGCACCTCTGGGTGGATTCAAACCACCAACGTTTCACCTAGTAATTGAGTGCTTTATCATCTCTGCCACCCAGGGACTCCCTATAAAACTTAGTGGTCCCTCAACTGCTGTTTAAATTTCAGAATATTAATGGTATTAATGATGATGAAAAGATTAACTTGTACAAATAATCCTTGGTTTCTGAAGAAATGAACAACACATTTAGGGAGGAAAAAATTCTCTTCTAAACGCATTTTTTCTTTTTGTTTAATTATTTTAATCTCATGTCTAACAGGAATATGTTTGAATTATATAGGATTAAATTGTGTCACACACATGCATACACACACACTCTTAATCCTAAATGATGTGATAAGGAACCATTTTTCTATAAATAACAGAATATTTCTACCATACATTATTAAGGCAAATGACTAAAGCTAGTATTGATTTTATTAGCATAGACTGGTTGAACATAACCAGGGTGGACAAGAATGGGCCTATCTAGTGTAAGGAGGGAAGGCCTATTAGAGTCCACCCACTTATAACCATGTAGAACAATAGATCCTCCTCCTTTTTTCTTCAGGAAAATAGGAAATCTGTATATTAAAAAAATAAAAGTCATTCCAATTTAAATCTTGATTTCTTTTGTGAGCCAGACAAAACACATCTTTGTAC